AAAAAAATGTCGTTTAAAAATAGCAATTTTGTTTACTTTTGAATAAGACTTTATCGAGTGCGCTATAAAGACAGGGGGATAAATGCTGTAAAGAAATATATGTTGAGTCCAATCGGTTTTTTGCTAATCCGGTTTTTGTGTAGGTATAAACAAGGTATATTAAAAAAATAAATCTCCATAAAAAAATATCGTTATTTTCGTATTTAAAATTAATCGGAATTTTATGGGGGGTTATAAAAACTCGTTTTAATTGAAACTTTGTTTTTTCGGCTATATTTGTTGTTATTTATTGGCCCAGATGCAAATATTGAATGAACTAACATATTTTAAATATTTACGGAACTACCATTTGTATACAATCCTGTATTCAAGTAGATGTAATTCGAAAAATTTAAACGGATTTCTTTAAATCCACCTGAGCTGCGGACATATTGCGAATTCATTTTAAAACATTAACCACTACATTTTATTAGTATTAAATACTTTCAATTAAGAAACAATTATTATTAGAAAATAAATATGAATCGGTTTATTTTAAATATTCCAATGTATATTTTTTGTTAATGCAGATAGTGCGGATTTAACGTATTTTATAACCGTTACATGGGGAAAAGAAATTTTAGGCAGATTGTTATTGACAATTTTTACATAATTTACGATTGCAATCAATTTCTTTCAAAACTATAATCTAAATGATTGCAAGTTGTATTTTTTACGATCAAAACAGATTCCAATATTAGGTATATTATGCACATGCAATCCAATTTGATTTGAGTTATTCAGTTTTAGATACATTTATATTTCTGTGTTCGTATGGAATAGTAGTTTATGTCGGGAAGCTGGCTTTAGTATAATCCGGCAATCCGTTTATTATTTACAACACAAGGAATTTTTTGATGACCCTTAACAAGAATATGGACGTGCTAGTATCGGAACTATTTCTTGCACGTTTATTTATCCAAAATTTCTTCAACGGCTCGGCGCCAGTGAGGGTATGCTGCGAATGCCGCATTATACTAAAACCAGCCTTTTGACATAAGCTACTATTCCATATGAGTGGGACACGTGCGAAATGCGGATTTTCCCAGTTGCAGTACTGCAGTAACTCGACACCTTCCTCACCAACCGCTCTGTCCTCTATGAGCTTCTTAATGTAACTGCAAATAAAAGATGGAAATTTAAGAAAAAATACTATCACAGCGTTTCACTCTTGTAGTATATTGGCTATCAAGCACCAGAAAATTTCCATCACGCATTCCATATGCCACCGATTGTCGTGGATCAATTAAAATACTGTCATCACAGCTTTTTGGTACTCCAGCAACTGGTGTGTCTATGGCGGAGTAATGT